CCCCCCCCCCCCCTCCTCAACAGTCTGCAGAATCCCCTAACTGATTACACTGAAAGTGATAATCCACCCTTGCTCCGGTTGTGGTTAAGCATCAGCGACTGCCCGGCAACTGATACCCTGAGGTGGTCACCAACCACTGTCGTCAAGGTACCTCTAACGAAAATCAAAGCAGACTATCACTCACCCACACCAGATGGAAAACTCTACAGACTGTTGGTTCTATATATCATCAAACAGAGCTGCCCGGTAAACCGTAGGCAGAGAGGGAGAAGATGCCAACAAACGAGGGGCTGTGACAATGGTATATACATATCGGTTTGATGATATATATGCCTACGGTTTCCTGCATAGAAGACCAGGATTAGTGCAGGTTGGCATTCTTCATCGAAGACTTAGAGGTGATGCTGGGGACAAGAGATTGTCTGGCGCCACAGGAAGTCCGAGGAGGAGACAGGAGGGAGGAGGTAACCATTGAAGAAGGGTCTGCAAGTAGAAGGAACAGGAAGCTTACCTGTTGGCTGGTGTCCATAGATACCTGCAATGTATCACCCGCGGCCGAGCCGCGGGGTTCGCGGGCGGCCACGTTTGTGGCCGTGGACTGCGGCCCCGAAGTTGCGGCCACAATTTTTACGGAATTTCCCCCGGCGAAATAAAACGTAAAAAATATATATATTGTCACATAACTATGTACTAAAAGAGCGCACTTTGCAAAACAAACGGCAAAAATAAAAAATTAAAAAAAACAAGACAAACATAAAGGGCACACTGAAACCATTCATTTTTCTCATTCTTCTTTCAACTCCCCCTTCACCGTGCCTCTCATGTACAAGGCTCGCCACGTTGATGAAGTCGAGCGCGAGCTGCCCCCATCCCCGTGTGCCATAACAGCCCACTTGTACGCTGTGAGACAGAGGCAGAGTGCCGGGGGAGGGGATAAACACAGGGAGGAGAGATGGAGAGCAGACAAACAAAGAACGATAAAGAGAAAGTACGGGAAAGTAAGGGAAAGTAAGGGAAAGCAAGGGAAAGTATGGAGTGTAGAGTGAAGATGAAGGCAAAAGAGGATAAGAAAAGGCTCAAGAATGAGTCTGTCCTTGACGACAGAGAGGACATACATTATAAGGATGAGGTGGATGAACACATGGAAGACCGAGCCGAGAATTCTCAGTGCAACAATTGCCATGACGGCTGGCATTGAGCATGCCCACCGTACACCCCCGACAAATGGCATGTCGATGCCAGGCCACAATCAAGGAAGACCGGTCACCACAAAAGACCACGCATTCAGTACAGCGCCCATGGTGGCAAAATGGACATATAGTGTCCGGATGCGGAGGGTGCCTGCAGTCAGGAACGGTGGGACAGTCCTCTGCACACATGGATGGAGAAACCATGTCATTGTAGTGATTGTAACAGAGACGATGGCGGCTACAGCCGAGTGTAGCAGTGTTTGTGGCTGTGCGAAGGAGAAGGTCGCAGAGTGTTGGTACATTGTCTTGCTGCAGCATGGGGCCAGAGGAATGATCTTCAACACAAAATAGATTGCGGGCCGTTTGTTGTGGCAAGAAAACAACATCATTTTGTAAGAAATCAGTGACATCAGTCATGGCATGGACAATGGTGCCATTGTGGCAAGAAAACAGCATCATTTTGTAAGAAATCAGTGACATCAGTCATGGCATGGACCATGGTGCCGTTGTCCCACAGCTCCCAGTGGTCAGAGGCAAGTACAACGCCCATGTAATGGCCAGGGTGTGCACAATGCAGGCAGAGATGTGGGATGGAGGATTAAACCACTCACCTGCGGTCCCTCACTGCTACTTGTAGGACAGCAATGGTAAAGCCTCCTTCACTGGTATAATTACAATCCTCTGGCTGAAGTTGAGGAAGATCCGCATCAAGCTGAAGGGCGATTGCAAGGAAGTCTGATGGTGTATACAACGGGCGGTGGAGAATGTGAAGACAGATATTGGTTGCCGTCAGACCACAGAGATTGGTGAGGTTCTCAGGCTGGTTTGTTGGATGCTGGTCAACAATTTGCAGATCACCCAGATGGTGTTGCAAGCCCAAACTGTGTTGGGTTGTTTGCTGGTCAGTCATTTGCAGATCACCCATGTGGTCTGCGCATGGCGGAGCCCAAATTTGTGGTTCATCCGAACAATGCTGGTCAGCCATTTGCAGATCCCCCATGTGGTCTACACCTTGTGGGGTCAACTGCAATCCAGGCAGAACACGTTTAGGGCTGCATCCTGAGCAGGGACTGTACCTGGAGTCGGGAGTGTACCCTGGGCAGGGACCACATCGTGTTGTACAGGTGAGTCATGAATATCTTACGCTGCAGGGTACCGTGGCTGTCTGCAGGCAGCTGGACTGTCTGCAGGAGGCATAGGTGCGGATATTGCTGTTTGAAACAAAGGAACCGCAACAACCTGTGGAGGAGGCACACAGAGAATCGGGGCAGACAAAGAAACAGTTTGCTGATCCCCAGACAAGTCACGATGCCGCAGATGTCGTCGGTGATACACAACAAGAGTAGTGGTGTTGCAAACAGAAGATGAACTTGTCCCTAGCAACGAAGGTGGAACAATGGGAACAATGGGAACTGGAGAGTCTGTTCGCAAGCAAGACCGTGGAGGAGATGGGGGTGGTGAGGAGGAACGCAGCCGTCTACGGCCAGGCACAGAAAGAGATGAGAGGGGGGTAGATTGGGCAAGATTTCGGAGTAAAGGACGTGAGCATCGGAGAGACTGTGATGTCTTTGCACTGGAGCTGCAGGAGAGGAAGCTGTAGCAGTAAAAACTGAAGTAGAGGGAATTACAGTTATGGAAACTGCCCTACTGAAAACTGCAGCAGTGGAAACCGCAGCAGTAGAAACTGCAGCAGCGGAAACTGGAGCAGTGGAAACTGCAGCAGTGGACACTGCAGCAGTGGAAACCGCAACAGTGCACACTGCAGTAGTAAAAACTGCAGGGGTGGAGACTGCAGCAGTGGAAACTGCGGTAGCAGCAGATGAGCAAGCAGGGGCAGGACGAGAGCATCGTGGGGGCGAAGAAGAAATTGGATGATACAAGGACCATCGCAGCATGCGTCGGAACCACTGAGAGAGACGCATCACATGCGTAGGATAGCGGCGTTGGCGGGAGTGCATGTAGCAGGTCCACCCCTTATCAAGGGTTGGTGGGGAATGCCCACGCAAAAGCATACGACGAGTAAGTGTTGTTGCCGCAGTTCGAAAGTCCTGCCATATATATGGGGTTGTAGGTTTTTTTGAACCCTACAACCCCTTTTTTTTGTTTTCAAATCGAATATTTTTTGGTATCAGAAAAAAATAAAAATCAAAAACTGCAAAAAAAAATAAAAAGAATCTTTTTTTTGGTTGTGTGTGTGKGTGTGTGTGCAGGCCGGGGGGGTGGGGGGGGGAACCCCCCTCCCACCAATCAATCAATCGAAGAAAAAAAAAATTGAAAAAAAAAAGTGTGCAAGTGTGTGTGTGTGKGTAKGSGKGKGGGGSGGGGGGGGGGRGAGGGAGGACCCCCCTCCCACCAATCAATCAATCGAAGAAAAAAAAAAAAAGTGAAAAAAAAGTGCCCGAGTGTCTGTGTATGTGCGTGTGCCAGGGGGGGTGGAGGGGCAGGGGGCGGACCCCTCTACCATCAATCAAGCAAAAACCATAAGGGGATGGAGGGCAGAAGACTACTCCAGCAAGAAGGCACCGACCCGAACCCCTCAAAGGTCCGAAAAAACTTGGAGAGCCTTCCGCAACGGCCCACAAAACCAAAAACTCATTTACCAAAAACAAACAAATATAATTGGCATTCCCGATATTCATCTCAAACCACACACTCGCGTCACTGCCAAAGAGGAGGAAGAAGATAAGAAACAACTTACCTAAGACAGAAGACTCCTCCAGCAAGAACGCACCGACCCCCCCTGCTCTGTGTGTGTGCGCGTGTGTGTGTGTGTGGGGGGGGGGGGGGGGGGGAACCCCTCCCTCGCCAATCAATAAATCAATCCCAATCAATCAATCAACCAATCAATAGATCAATCAATCAATCAATCACTTTTTCTTTTTTCTTTTTTAATTCATTTTTACCCCCCCAACCCACCCCCTCCCGACATTCATTTTCCGAGACTTCATTCTGTTTGCAGTACACTGTCTGATAGAGAAGGAGTGTGTGGCACTGGTGTTATCGAGGTCAGGGAATGAGGGAGAAGGTCGCCATAGCTTCAGTCAGCGAGGCAATGTGTGGTCGAGAACAAGGAAGGACACTCCACCCTGCTTCAGAAGAGAGCCTTGTCATTTTTTCATTTCCAGTCCCAGCATTATTTGCTGCTAGCCTGGGACGGACATGTGCCGTGGAGAGATTGACTTTGCCGGATGACTCTGTGTCTAGACTTGGCGAACGACTCTGCGTGTAGATTCCCGGTCAAGCGGAGAGGGAATACAAGCCAGTAGATACATTGGGAGGGTGAGAAGCAATCGCGTGGAAGAAGAAGGAGAAGCGATCTGAACAACTGAATTTTTTTTCAGATATTTCCATGCTCCTCTTCTTCTCCACTCTTTTCTTGTGATTCTTTGCCATCTCAAGTTGTTACTTGTCATCATTGAGTTGAGCCTTGTGATTCACGTGAGATCAAAAGCCCAGCGGGATCTATCTACTGAAGTTGGGATCATTCCACTGGCAGAAGCTGGATTCCCCATTTTGCACCTTCGGTGAGTAGCATGGTGAGACACATGTAGCCAGTGTCTTCTGGCCATACACTCTTAAGAGTCTTGACTGCCGATTTTGGGGGTCTGCTTAGTAAAGCCAGGCACCCAAGTGTACCTAACTTTTTCTCTTTTTTATAGAGTATGCTGCTGTGACTCTTCAATACCCAGTTTGGTGTGACACTTCCAATCAACTGTGATTTCTTGATGTTGCCTTCAATTCCGTTTGCACGAGTGCTGCATTTCGGAAGCGGTTGAAGCTTGGCAACATCCTAACAAGCCACACACCCTTACCCGCCTTTTGTGTTCGTGGCCGTTCCTCCTCGAGATCTGCCGTGAGAAACAAAGAATCAAGGTCAGTGGAGCCTCGCCCCAGCACAAAGAATGCAGGTCAGTGGAGCCTCGCCCCGAGCTGTGGTACAAACGGTTCAGCGTCTATCTTTTCTCCAACCTGGGAAAAAAGGTTGACGTTTTGCCAAACGGGTCAGTGTTGCGAGGTTGGCCTGCACCTAACCCCTTCTCCCGCGGCAGCTCACCCGGGGAACGTGCAGTTCAGGAGCATGACTGCTGCAGAGGGCGTACTCACACACCAGATTTTTTCTGGCTGTCTGGCTGAATCTGGTCATTTTTCTGGCTGTCTGGCTGAATCGGGTCATTTTTCTGGCTGTCTGGCTGAATCTGGTCATAATCACAGTCCCGGATACACCGGAGCTAGTGGGACTTTATTCCCCCGACCAGATACAACTCTGGGTAATTATAGCTGTTACACCGGGGCCCATGTCCCACTTCCGGGGGTTTAGTTTATGTTTCGTGTATTTTTCAAGGTGGTCACACTGTGGCCGTGAGATTTTCGGATCGCACGGCAGGGAGCCATGTATGGAAACCAGAACTAAACCTCGACAAGTTGAGTATGGCCCCGGGTCTGAGGGCATACTCAGACGAGGACTTTTTAATACAAAGCTCTGGACGTGATACTGGTCAGTTTCGTGCATGTGCGGCCGTAATTGCAGCCAGATGCATTTGGGACAGTCCTACCGGCAGTGCGAGTACGCCCTGACAGCTGCACGAGAACCAACGGGCGTGTGGCACAGTTGGTGCACCCATGAATCGAACGCACCCGTGTCTTTCCGGAAGACGGGTGCGTTCTATACGGAGGATCGGCTACAAAACCCCTCGTCACGCTCATATTTACTTGTCATTTGTTTGCTGCGACATACTCTTATTGGTTTGCTACTACAGTCTCTTATCTCGTGTGTGAGGCCGATGACCTGCGGAACGGAAAGTCGTACACCAAAACAGCCGAGAGCAGCCACCAAACACACACCACACTTACCAGCGGTCCTGCTACCCTACCGGTAGTCCGAGAGGCACTATAACTACGCCCCCAACGGAACGGAGGAAATGGGATTTGAACCCATGATACAATCTTGTTGTATGTTGATTTAGGGCCAGATCCCACGGGCAAAGAGGATTGGAATAAGTGGCTGAATCGGGACGTGTTCCTCACAGAGATGCAGAAAAGCAGATCAATCACTTTTTTTTGCACCTCTCCACAAACAAGTCCAGATTCGAAGGCTTATTCCAATCCTCTTTGCCAGTGGGATCTGGTCCTTAGCAAACCAATGCCTTCAGCCACTCAGCCATACCTCCCAGGAAAAACGGGATTTGAACCCGCGACTTCTGGCAAACGAGATTTGAACCCGCGACTTGCACGCCAGATTGTTAGCCGTTCGACGTGTCACTATGGAAAATGGCCACAAGGAAACGAGGACATAGACGGAAAGAGAGGCTACATCCCCGGCCGTCGACAGTCGTCAGACGCACACAGCAGCTCGCTGCTAGCTTCGTCTCCCCGAACACAACGCACACTCATCGCACCTGTATCGGACCCGAAAATAGCTAGTAGGAACATACATGCATGATGAGGCTGCGTTGTGATCGGGGGAAAGACGGTAGCTAGACAACCTAAGCAAGCAGGATTGAGCACTTGTCACTCACTAACCACCTTGACTGAGCACCTCGTCACCAACCACCTACCCGCTGCTTGCCAGGGTAGGGTGTATTGTGCACCTAGTAAACTACTAAGGGGTTCGCCGCATGCCACGATTTCGAATGTATCGGGACAAACTCCAGACCCAGATACATCCAAAATGTTGGGGTTTGGCGAGTGGTGCGGCGAGCCCCTAACTAACAAACTAACTAACCGCTTTACTACCATCTCCGATCCGACAGATGCCGACCTCGAGAGAGAGAGAGAGAGGGCCTCGTCGCGCCATCCCCAAACGCCAACATTCTGAATGAATGTGAACATGCTGTTGGTCCTTATGCATTCACAACGTGGGCATTCGGCGAGTGGTGCGGCGAGGCCCACAATCTTCGCCTACTCCATCTCCCTCCTCGTGTTCCGTTCCGCTAGATTGCAGATGCGTGCGCCAGTCACAGGCCACTGTCATCGCCACGGCTAAGACAAAGCACCGAGGGTAAAAAGAACGGACAAAGGGGGAGGAGAAGGGAGGACGAGGGAGGAGGAGGGAGGACGAGGAGCAAAGGAAGGGCGAGAGTAATGAGCAGGAAGCCGCAGAAAAAGGGGAGGAGGGGAGGGGGAGAACACCACAACGCACCTCCCACTAGAGCGATGACGAGGACATCACCGATCCGCTTAAGCAGCCTAACAGTGTCGCCGTGGGACTTGAACCGCCGCAGAGCAGGGTCGTCTTTCAGAAGCTGCAGAAAGAGTATGAAGCCATTATTTGGCACAAAACAACAAAACAGAGAAAGGCCAAGGAGCGAGCACGCAGGCAAACGATACCAGAACAAAAAACACAGGGTTAGCCGAAGACCGGGGGCCAAGTCCCACTAGATGGTGTTCTTCATTTCCGGCCATCGATCTGTATATCCCCGCCACAATCGGCGGTCAAGAATGAAGAACACACGCCAGTGGGACCTGGCGCCGGACAGGCATTGTGTGTGCTTCTGAAAACTTCGATAGAGAAAACAACCAGAAACAAAAAGAAAAAGATGGGCAAAATAACATTTTCAAATAGCGCTTGACCGCTTCAATTTCCAGAGCAGCCCAGAGCAGATGAGCAGATGACAACATTGCGAAACAGGCGCCGTTCACAGGGAAACTATATTCGCACAACGCCAGGGAGAGCAGCATCAAAGAGGCAGGAGCGGGAGAGAGAGGAGGAAACAAGAGAGGGGGCAGAGAGAGGGGAAATAGGAAGAGGAAGAAGAGGCGCAAAGAGACAGACTACGAATCCATGTCATATCAAGTGAAGAAAGTAACCCTTAATAATAAATTTTAAGGAAAGAGAGAGAGAGAGAGAGCAACCCTCGATCCCTACAAATATGGGGCACTTGCTACTTTTCCGCCTTTTTACCTTCATTTACCACCTCTTCCCCTCCCCCCCCCCACTCCTCCTTCCCCCTCCTTATCATCCTTTCAGGCCGAATTCTACTCCCGCTGCTTCTTGTGTATTACTCTATATTCTCTCCTCCTCCTCCTCCTCCTCAGTCATACTCGCGGCTAACCGACATCGGGGAATCCTTCATCTCATCATCCTCTTCTCCTTCCGACTCCGCAGCCTTCCCCTCTCCTTTCCTACTGCGCCGCCTCCGCTTCAGATGCACCGCCATTTTCTCCCTGTATCAACTAAATTATACAATCGCAAGTTATACATGGAGGTTGCTTGGGGCGGAGATTAAAACATAAAAAAATATATATATGGATCGCCCACCAGAGGCAGAGAATACAAGCAAGATACAGAATTACAACTCATTGACAGGCCTAGATTTCGATTGGATAAAAGAAAAAGGGGATTTAAATTGATATATCGTAGTATCCACCATCGCCGTTCCTTCGTCGGCAACGCGCGCGCTGCTATCGATCTCCTTACCCTCCTTCCCTCCTCTCTCCTCGTAGAAGAGTGTGAACGGTTTTTTTTTTTTTTTCCCGAGGCAAAGCCGGTCGTGGCTTGCTAGAAAGGGGGTGATAGGAGCAGCCCGCACTAGCAGGCCTCCCAGGTTGCTCCTGTCTATTGGTGGGGAGCTTCACCTGCTGGAAATCAGGAGGATGAACGGGTTTTTATTACTGTATTTTACCGCTGGAAAAGGAAAGTAGGGAAAGAAGAGGAAATTTCAAAAAAAAAAATACCGCTGGGAAAGGAAACGAAAGGAAAGGAAAGGAAAAGTTTAAATGTTTTTTTCCCGCCGGAAAAGGAATGGAGGGAAGGGAACGGGGAAGAAAAGGAAATGAGGGAAAGGAAAGGGGAAGAAAGGAAAGGAGGGGGAAAAAAAAGTGAAGTTCAAATTGTTTTACTGCTGGGAAGGTAAAGGAAAGGAGGGGGGGGGAAAAGGAACGGTTGAATTGGTCTATCACGCTGGGAAAGGAAATGAGGGAAACAATACGACAGTTTAAGTTGTTTTACCGCTGGAGCAAAAAGGAAAGGAGGGAAAGAATAGAAACGGAGGGAAGGAATAGAAAAGGAGGGAAAGTGCATCGGGACATCCGTTAAAAGTTTGGAACGATACAGAGACTGAAAATCAGCATAGCATAGCCCCTGCGCGAGGATGACACGCATAAATTGGGAAAAGGAGGGGGAAAAAAAAAAAAGGGAAAGGAGGGAAAGAATAGGAAAGGAGGGAGAGAGAAGGAACGGAGGAAAAAAAGATCGGTGCAGTGCGACTTCCCTCCTTTCTTCGCGCTTGTGTCGCCACGACCACGATGGCACGATGCAAAGATTACGGCGGTGGAAGAGCCCCCAGCCCGCCCGATGGGAGACCGTAGAGATACTAGTAAGTCGGGCTACACTGGCCGCCCGTTTGATTTCCAATTGTTGTTCATCTCTTAACTTTGCGATTTGCCAGAATTTTCTTAACTGACGTGACTTTTTTACATCTAGTAATCGAACACCTGGACGCTGATCAAATGTATCGAGACGCAATTAGACTCAACGAACTGTGAGTGAATGGATTGGACGGAACTGAACTGGTTGAATGGATTGAAATGAATTGCACTGGACAGAACTGATTGTACGGATTGTGAGATGAATTGCTGGAGATTCGACAGAACTCTTACTCTATGGGTTGAGAGGAGTTCCAAAGAACAGAAGAGATTGAATGGATTAAGATACATAAATTACAGATTGAACAGAAGTCGGATCGACTGGATAATGAGATGGATTGGAGGGAACGTGGAACGCAGCTGACTGAATGGATTGAGATGAATTGGAATTTGAACAATTGATTAAACTGGCCGCCGCTTATGATTAACTGGATTACGATGGTGGTATTCTTTTGCACGCTCTCCAGCTTTCATTTCATTGCTCAGAAAGAAGCTGATTGGAAGTTGACGTCGGAAAAGGTGAGCGCCCAACAGCACGCATCACTCGTCAGATGAATTACTCGCGCTGCATGTGCGTGCACGTGTGTGTGCATCTGCATGTCTGGGGAACGCGGGAGAGCATACACACGTGCACGCTGCATGTGCGTGCATGTGCGTGCACGTGTGTGTGCATCTCCACGTCTGGGGAACGCGGGAGAGCATACATGCACACGTGCGTGCACATGTGTGTGCCTCTCTATGTCGGCGGAACGCGGAAGAGCATACACACGTGCGTGCACTTGTGTGTGTAATCGGCGGAATGAGGGGGAAGGCGCCGGGAGGGGCCGTCTTCCTCCGAACAGAAAGGAGGGTCATTTGACCTGTACTCGGGGCAAACTTTCAATCTAGATACCGCGATGATGACCGCCCGTCGCGCTAGACAACGATGTACCGACAAACCCCCCTGATTGGCTGGCTCCATATTAGAGGATTCGAGCAAGCAGGATGAGAAGATAAGATCCCTGCAAGAACTCAGCTCCTACAGCCCCCCCTCCCTCCTGCCCCGTTTTCCAAGCGAAAGAGGGAGGGAGCATCCGCTTGCTTCTCAGCGGTGACATTCGCACGAAAGCAACGAGATGAACCAACCACACCGCGCGGAGCCCGCGCGATTCTCAGCAGATGCCGGAGACGGGTGCACACAGAGAAGAAAACGCGGGAAACGAGGGTTGCACCCTATTCCTACACGCTCTCCCGCCATAAACGGGATGCACCGCGGGAGAACCATACGCGTTCCTCTCTCCTCGGTAGTGGGACCAGAGGCGACTCCGAGCGGCGATGAGACGCAAGCGACGCCGGGGGTAAGGCCGCCAGACGGCGAGGGGATACGGAGAGCGCGTGACATATACAGTAAATCGCGCCGTGACGTCGCCGACGAACAAATCGCAGCGTCTGCGCGCTTCCGTCCTCTCTCTCTCTCTCTCTCTCTCTCTCTCTCTCTCTCTCTCTCTCTCTCTCTCTCTCTCTCTCTCTCTCTCTC